TGGCAGGAGCAAGAGTGGCCCGTTGTATGGCATGTATTCCCAGGGGTTGTTCAAAGTTTGAATGATTCACACACATCCGTGGGTGGGCAACTGCAGTCGGTGCATGGTGGGCCAACTGTGTCACTGTTTCTCTGTGTCATGATAGATCTCAATTGAGCGGCGGCGGCCGGCCTGAGGGCCAGCGGGCAACAGCGCTCGCCGCCGCATGGCTCCCCATGCGCCGGGGGCCCATCCTCCGGGAGCCACCAGGCAGGAAGCTAGCCAGCCGGAAGACTGGCGCTCCCCACCCGCGGCTCCCTATGCGCCGGAAGCCCTCCTTCTCCATTCGTGTTCAATATCTGGAGAAATTTAGGTAACAGTTGTTTTGTTTTGTTTTTTGGTCTTGAGACAGGGTTTTGCAATGCAGTTCAGGCTGGCCTTGAACTCACAGCAATCTTCCCGCCTCAGAAGGCTGAGCGCTGGAATTATAGGCGTGCACCACCACACCTGGCTTTTTTTGGGACAGAATCTCACTATATAGTTTGACCTGCCCTTGCATTCATTATGTAGCCTATGCTGGCCTCCAGCTCACAGCCATCTTCCTACCTCAGCCTCTGGAGTACTGCGATTACAGGTATGCACCACCATGCCCAGCAGCTAACAATTTTCTAAGGACATGATTTAGAAATGGGTTGAAGGTTCAACAGAATGGCAGCTCCAAATTCTGTTGAGTAGAAAAAATAAGAAATGACCAGCAACAGCAAGCAGTCAGAGTAAACACCCTCAACATGCAGGCTGTGGTCTGTAAGTAGCTCTGAAGAGGAATCAGGGCTCCCTGTGTGTGTGTGTGAGAGAGAGAGAGAGAGAGAGAGAGAGATTCCAAGTCTGAGGCAGCAAATGTACAAGACAAATTTAGCAGAAAATTCTGGACCACCACTGGCCATCTTTGAGGGATGATAGGGAACCAACTCATTATCTTTGAAAACTAATAAATAGGGGGCTGGGGATTTAGCTCAGTGGCACAGCACCTGCCTGGCACAAGGTTGTGTGTTCAATTCCAGGTACCAGAAAAAAACAAAAATAAAAATAAAAAAGAAAAAGAAAACTAGTAAATAAAAGGAATTCAGTATTTATCTCTTGCTCGCCTATTCAAATTGTAACCAGATAATTGGTAAGTGGAAATTTCTCTTTTTAGAAGTATTCCAGCTAATAACCGGGGAAACAATACAGTTACAACTATTTTTCAACCCCTAGTGAATTAATGAACCTGGGTTTTGAGTATTAGTATTCTCATGTCACAAAGAGATAAGCAGTGGCTGGGGGTGTGGATCACTGGTAGAGCATTTGCCTAAAGCATGTACAGCCCTAGATTCAATCTCCAGCAACACACATACACACCCCAAAAGAACCAGATATTAGTAGCCCCCAAAATAGAAACACATGCCACATCTACACAGCATCCTTGCCATAAAATTCCAATCTAAATGTGAACAAGCCTTTCATCAGCGCTACCCAATAGAAGTATGGGAGCCACATGTTAACGCCGATCTTAATTCAAGCTTCCATTTCAAGTGCTCGTCAGCTTTGACTACTGTGTTGGACTCCCATGCAGATCTCTAACCACTGACTTCTAGGAAGGATGCGAACACAGGGGCCTGGCACAGTAGCACGCAACTGGGGAGAGGGAGACGATACAGACTCTGGGAGAAAATGATGCTATATCTTCGAGAGAGAAAAAACAACAGTGCATCAAAGGCAGCAGGAAAGAAAGAAGTTATAGATTATCAGACAAGATATCCAACAACTAACAATGCATGAATTCTGTTCAAACAGAATGTAAAATGTGTTAAAAGGAAATCTGAACAGATGGGAGTAGTTTTGGTATTAAAGAGTCACTAATCATTTCTTCACGTATGATCACGGTATTGTAGTTACATTACAAAAACAATTTAAGACTGCACACAAATATTCATGGGTGAAGTAAACTGATATCCGGGGTTTTTTTTAAAGGAATCCAAGGTGAGCAGAGGACTGGCAAGGAGTTGGTATTTGAAACAGGACTGGCAAGGAGTTGGTATTTGAAGCTGGGTGATGGGTATATGGAAAAAATTGTACTATTTTTTTTTTTAGACAGAGTAGCTCACTATGTAGTCCAGGCGAGCCTTGAACTCGCTATGTAGCTCAGGAATGCCTCAAATTTGCAATCTTCCTGTCTCAGCCTCCCAGAATGCTGGGATTATAGGCATGTGCTATCATGCCTGGCTATACCATTCTTACTTTTGGATATAGTTGAGATTTTCCATAGTTAAGTTTTAAAAAAAATTGTGGGACAAGACACTTATTCCAACACCACTCGTTCTTGGAGGTAAAACTCATTCAAGATTCTATTCTTTCTAAACCTATGAAAGGACAGAGGGCCGGGGATATAGCTTAGCAGCACTGCCTGGCAAGCGCAAGCTCCTGAGTTAGATTCCCAGGACCAAAAAGAGAAAGAACAGAGGCTGCCACCACACACGGGCAATAAACCAGGAAAAATGTACAGAAAAACTACACATACATAATGTTCACGTTAGAACACGTGTGAAAGTAAAGTGAGAGGAAAGGACTAGCTGTTCTCCACCACAGGTAAAGGCAACCCTCTCCTTGGGCTCTGCCGCCTGGGTTTTCCTAGCCCTCCCCTCCAGTAATGCAGACGGCTGTGGCAAGGCTGTCCGGACACCAGTGTACACTGTACAGCTCCTCTCTTATTCTGCTCTTCCTGCATCTCAGCAGAGAGCAAACGGTGGGGGCTTTAAACACAAAAGGCACATGGGGACTGTGAAGCTGATCATACCCAACTTTATGGTTCATGAGCTTAGACACACTTCGGAAGAGTGTGGCCCCCGTTCCCTACCTCTTAACCCTGCAATGCATCATGCAGAGACGGACAATGTGAGTCAGACAGAAAAGGGGACAGAAGTGTTAGTGTCTTGCACCGTAGAACTTCCAGTGATGTATTTCCAAAGTGGATGGTGCCCCTTCTTGTTTATCCACAGTTGGATTCTGCAGTTTTGTGTTTAAATCACTGCCTGGTAGCAAATACCTGTTTAATAAATTTGAATTTGGAGTGAAAAATGTTTCAGGAGAAAGAAAGTGAAATACGTCAAAAGATCTGAGAGGCAACAGATTGGGATAAACGCTCAAAAAAATAAAAATGAGATTTATTAATTTTTTTTTAAATTACGTAACAAAATAATCAGTAAAAGCCAAAACAAAAAACCTGACATATGACTGATTAACCACAATAGCATTTATTAGTGAATACTAAAAATAAATCTTATCATTTTTATTTGCTTTTCCCTTACTCTGACTACACAGATGTTTTTGTAAGCTTGAGTTCCTTATAAAATTTTCCGGTTATACCAGCTCCTACCATGACTGAGTGAGATCAGGAAAGGTCCCACTCCCATCGGGAAATGAACTTGGAGCCCAGGAGTGGGGCTATGAGAACACGCCCACTGCCCACTCAGCCATGATGCAGCGAGGGCTCCAGTGCTTACAGGGTGTTCTAAGTTCCCGTCAGGACTAGGCCATCATCTTTTCCGGCAGCCTGGACCACAGCCATTGTCATCACTCTAACCAGCAGCCTTGCAAACTGCATCAAAATTGGTATTAACAAAGGTGAAGGTCAAATTTTTGGCCTTTATTCCTGGGAGTCAGAGAGCTGCCTGGCAGGAAGCTGTGAAGGTTTCGAAGCAAGCTTGTCCTTACGTTCAGTACTGGGGAAGGGCTGCAAACCTACCTGGCACACATGCGCACTGAGTATCTGGGTGTATCAGGAGCACCCGCCCATCAACACACAAGGAAGCTGGGGTAAATCGGCGAGCCACGTGGGACCACGCCCCTCAAAACAGAGGCAAATTCGGTGAACCAAGGTAGTAACCTCAGTTTATCAGTCCTTTCCTGAAGAACCACATTGATCTCCTGATTCAAGAGGCACCTCTGGCCAGGACACAGCACGGAAGAAAGCGTAACTTCAGGCTACAGCCACGCCACACGGTGTTCAGAAGTTGTGGTGGTGTCCACAGCAGAAGGCAGCATCACTACTCCTCAGAGCCGGAGCGCGCGCTGGCGGGACCGCAGACCTGGAGCCTCCGTCCTACTGCAGCTTCACGGCGGATGCCCAGATGTCGTTGCTGGGGAGTGGGGGAAGGACCCACCCTTGTGGAACAGAGCTGCCTTTGGGATGATCAGCTGGCACCAGGTACTGATCCCAGTCATGCCTTCATAAGAACATTAAAGAACAACAGTTCAGTTCCACTTTTTCCAAGCAACATGTTCAGCAAGGAAATATTCTATTCCCAAGTACATGCTCACCTACGGCAGAACTTGATTTCTTGGAATTATGTACAAGCTCACATTTCTTAAATGAACACACTTAGTGGAAAAACTCTGACCTTAAAAACTGTTATGGATAACCAACTCATTAACACAGTTTATCCCATTATTTTCAGGTTTTGTATTTGCAAATTTGCTATTCACTAAAATGTAATCGTAGCCCCTAAATCATCGCTTGCGGTGATTTCATGGATACCTGAAGATACAAAGCGGTCACCCAATGCACATTCTGAGCTGAGGTCAAATAAGGCAACATTCTCGGGGCCTTTTTCCACTCTCACACCGGAAATAAGTGTCCTTTTCATGGTCCGTTCAGTGCCACGTTTTGCACATGTCTAAGCTTTTCACCTATGCTTTCACTGTTTAAAACGGCCCCCAAGGATTGTGGTGTTCCCTGTACCAGAGCCATGACCTGCCCTGTGGAGAGAACACGTGTGTCAGATAAGCTTCATGCAGGCACGGGTCACGGTGCTGTCAGCAGTGAGGTCAACTGTGTCTGTCAAGTAAAGTGCCTTGAAATGGAAATACACAGGAAACAAGGTCCTGGCCACGGATGAACTGCACGAGGCTCTCAGAAATCCCGACCCCGGCTTCCCATTAGCAGCAACAGTTTAGTACGTGGCATTACAGCCTTCAGGCGATCTGACAGGACACAGCTGCTGTGAACAGCGAGAACTGACTGCACTGACATTTCCAAGCTAAAACCTGTACGTTGGCCAAAAGGAAACTCTTTCCAGTAAATAAAGTCGGTACGCCGAAGAGCACACTTTCATGAGCGTCACAGACTGTCAGCCCTTTGGAAAGGAGCCTCGGAGATCAGACTTTGAGGCCCCCCGGAGTCCCTAAGATGTTCTGGGGAGCAAACAACAGCGTGCTCCTCAGCGACAGCGAAGCCGAGCTACCTGGGGGACCCCATGCACTGTACGTGTCTTGTCTATTGATTTCTCAAGAGACTGCAAGTAGGAAGAGCACTGCCGCCGGAGCCCGAAGACTACCTTTGGTCTGCACCTCCACTTTACAGTTGAAGAGCAGAAGCCTTTACCCGGCTCAACAGCTCCACGGTAACCAGTGACTCAGGTGAGACCCTCGCTCCCAGGTCTCTAGGCTGTGACCTGCGGGAGCCGGGAAGCCAGCCTCAGTCTTAACGTCTCCACCGCACACTTGAGAGTGTTTCTCTTCTTGGCTATGTTTAGCACCAGAAGAGAATTAGAAAAATAAAGCCGATGCTCTCAAAGCCGAGGGCTACACCACACGGCGTCACAACCCGCGTTTCAGCTTCTCCACCTGTTGAAATGGAGACAGCTTCCTGTGAAGCATGAGGACTGAACAAGAAGGTGCGGCATCCTTGAGACGTGCGGACATCATCAACCATGGGAAACTTTACAAAGATACAGTAACAGACCTGGACAAGTGAGCACCTCATCAGGTGCTGCTTGCTATCCCAGGGAAAGGCGACAGGGAGAGCCCGCCCACTGACCTTATCTGGATGAGCGCTGGCAGGGAGTGCTCGGCCTGGAGGTAATACTGTCGGAAAGGCTGCAGGAGGTGAGCGAGGGGGAACTCGTCTGAAAGAGAAGAGGCACAGTACCCCACCATCGTGCTGGCTGCGGGCAGCATATTTCTCAAAGCAAGGCGGCTGGCCCACGATTATGACAGTACGATCAAATACGGTTTCGTCTGGTCATTTTGTTTTTTCTTCTTTCCTGGTACTGGGGATGGAACACAGGGCCTCTGCATACTAGGCAAGTAACTACCGCTCAGCTACATCCCCAGCCCTAAGTGTGTGGCATATGTATCCGTGTCTCCCATCATAGTCTAGAACAGTGATGGCGAACCTTTCTGAGTTTTCAATAATAAACAGCTGGCTGCAGCTCGAGGGCCACAGGTTCCCCACTACTAGTCGAGAATCTCCAAACAGAACATGCCATTTGCTGCTCCAGCTCTTAAGATGAGACCTCCCCCGAGACAGAACTGCCAATTTAGTATTTTCCTTTTTGCCACTGAGTACACAGGAACTTACCTGGATCCCCAAATAACTTGGACTCAATTTCACGTTTCTGAAGTAAAAATTTCTCTTTTTCTTTCCTCTGTTTCTTTTCCAATTCTCTTTTCCTCTCTTCCTCTTGTTCTCCCTCCAGCATCACTCTGAGGGCCCTCTCTTCCGCTTCATACAGCTCGGAGCGTTTTTTAATGAGCTTCCTCAGTCGCTGCAGATGGTGCTCAAAAGTCTCATCTGCTGAGGCTGGAGGACAGACCCCTGGGCGAAAAGAGCCGGTGGCATTATTCGATACAACTTTTTCCTCACCTCCCAATGCATGTTCTAATGAGCAGTCTCGATGTCCTACCTACAGCAGGAGTTGCTTAGAATTGTAAACTGTACCCCACTTTCAAGGCTCAATTTGATCTTTCTCAATCTCCAACTGCACGGAACCCACGCTGAAGGCCTTCTCCCATCTCTCCCTGGATCACACCGTTGAGCCTTCAGGTCTGATCGTCCACCTGGACAGAGTGTTTACTAAAGTGAGGCACCTGCCTTAACTTCTTCATGTTCACGAATTCCCTCAGCACTGAGTCCAGGTCCATCAGGCAGCTGTCCCTCTGACGGTGTATTCTGGGAGCACAGCCCTCTTCATGGACAAGACACACATAACCAAGTGCACTGACCTCACGGTCTGCTGGGGACAGTGGGATGACCGGCTGTTTTGGTCCGCCTGCTTTTAGCACTAAAAACCCTGAGCCCTCTCAGGCCCAGGAAAACCAGGATGTTTGTCACCCTGATTTAACTTTGAGATTGGCTAACAGCGCAGCCAACGTGGTTAACACCACAACTGGGAAAATTTGTTTACAAATTTACATGTATCAAGGGATTACTGCCCCTGTTTTGGTGTGACAAGGACATCACTCATAATTGATGGTAAGTACACTGGTGTTTTATTTTTGTGCATGTATGAAATTTTTAATAATTTCATAAATATATATATACATGAAAAAATGTTGCAGTTTTTTTTTTTTTTTAACAGGAACACCAAAGTGAGTTTTGATTTTAACAGGGCCTGGGCTGTAAGCACATGGGGTCAGTATGCAGGAAGGAGCCTTCCGGACCAAAAAAAAAAAAAAAATTAATGTAATAAATACTAGATTGACTGCAATCGTGTTCACCACAACGGCTCTGCAAGAGGACAGCTGCTGGAGCTGCCTGAGGAGTCAATCTGAGTGACGGGTGTGTCATTCTGTTAGTTTGCGAAGAGTTTAAAGAAAATAATTTTTTTTGCAAAACATTTTAATACCTGATACAAGGGATTTTTGAAAAATCCCAATTACCCTACCATAATCAACATTAATTCCCCATGCTTCTGTTAAGTCTTTCTGCCTCTCTGCCTGCCTGCCCTGTTCCCCAGTTTGGTTTTTGTCAGATAGGGTCTCACTATGTAGTTCAGGCAGGCATTGAACTCACTATGTAGCTCATGCTGGCAAACCCACAGCAATCCTCCTGTCTCAGCCTCCTGAGTGCTGTGATTACAGGTGTGAGCCAACACCCTGGCTTTCTGCCCACATTTAACAAGTTCCTATAGTTCAACACAGTATGTGTGTAATTTCCACATCTCTATGTTCAGTCTCTGCACTCTTCTCCAGTCTTCACAGTCCATGTCTCTATTCCATTTCAACAAATCAGTGTATCGCCATGAAATTAACAAGCTTCCTACTCCTGGATCCTTGGCTTCCCCAGCACCCTGTGATGATACAATGCTACTAGAATATTCTCAGGGAAGTTATTTTTTCCTCCCTACACATCATTTCTATAAAGTAAGTTCTTAAGGGTGGAAACGTTTATGGTTAACTTTCAAGACTACCAAAATGCGGTAATAAGCTGCTTCCTAAAAAAGCTACACATTTACTCCGTGACCTAACACTTGACACAAAGACAAATGATAATTATTCCTTTGCTGAATGAATAATCTTAACAGGGCTTTAGCAATGTTGCAGCAACCTCTGAAGTATGATCTGCCAGCTTTGAACACTAAAATTTTAATTCTGGCTGACAAGTGGCCTACAGTAATTGTTCCTCAAGTGTAGTAGTTCTGTCTCTTACAAGCTTTAATTTGGAAGTATGATTTTGCGTCCTCCCTCAACCAGTAGCGATGGAGTTGTGGAATTCATTCTCCTATCTCCCACTTCAAGGCTAACATTTCTCCAGACAATTTTCTTACCTGTTTGCTTGAACAGACTTACACTTGCTCACTCTCAATCTCGAAAACCCTACACATCAAATTTACCTTCTACTGAGTTGCCAGGCAAGTATTTTCCAAGTTCAAATGGAAACTGCCACCATGTTGTTTTGTAATAATTTTATGGTTTTTGTTTCACTTGTTTTATCATTTTCTGTAAAGGGCCAGATAGTAAATATTGCAGGTTTTACAAGTCATACAGTCTGCTGTTATTAAAATCTGCTGGTCTAGTAAAAACTGCAGCTCCCCCATCACTCCCATGAGAGCCTCCAGGCCCTCGAGGAGTGGCCGCCTGCTCCCCGCTCGTCCCGCTGCTGCACCCCATTCACATCTCCCCTCGAGCCCTCCCTGGTGACTATCTGGTCACCTTGACACAGTCGCTGGGAAACAGCACTCCTTGCCTTCTCCTGCCGCCACAGGCTGGCGTCACCTCGGTTCCCCCATCACTGCATGCTCTTCCCCTACCCCTCAGACACACACACCCTGGCACCTGGCCTAGTCTGACTTTAACGAGCAGAAAAAGCTTTCTACCCCTCAAGTCTACACCTGGGGATTCTCCTCTCTGACTACCACTTTCCACCCTCCCTCCTCTCAACAGACTCCCTCTCCCCAGAGACTTGTCAGCTTCACCAAAACCTCCAGACCTGAGGCGCCAGCATTTCTGACCTTCCATCCCTTCTCTCCACAACTTACAGTTGCTCCATAAAACAAAACCTCAGCAGCTCCACGCTCTGTGCTCCGCCAGCCGCGGCACGTACGGCCCTGGACTGTGGGACCCGATGTCAGTAAATGAGCCTGCTAGCTGCTCCAATGCCCCTCCCAGCAGGTGTCTTCCACAGTCTCCGGCTGGCTGTCGCCCATGGCCCCGTGTTCCTTACCTGAAACTCTCACTGCTCTCCTAAGACCACCTGACCTACTTCCCTAAAACGCACTGGCAAGCAGGAAGCCCCCCAGACTCTATCCGCCTGCACTCCCCTGCCTTCCTCCCCATCCTTGCCTCTATTTCCATGCCCAGGGAAGCTGAGCTCTTCTTCACTTATAGGCAGTCCTCCACCTTGGACCTGACTCTCCGTACCTTCCAGGAGATCTGGAGCCACCACTATGTGGCTACTTCCCCTCCTGTTCCCTCCTCTGCTTTGCATTTAAACACGCTCAAGTTCTCCCGGACCCTAAGTCACACAACACCCAGTCATCACCACCAACACCACACACAGCCTGATTCCCGTCTCGTTCTCGCTCCGTTCTCCACTAGCAATCTTTCAGTAAGTTCAATTCACCGCTTGTCTTACCTCCTTTCACTCTAACCTCTTCTGGTTCGGTCCAACTTCAACTCCCCTCCGCCACTGAAAAGGCCCTGGCGTTGGTCCCTAATGACTGGATGGGTACTAACTCCTGCAGACGTTTCTTAGCCTTTACACTACTTTCAGAGCAATAACCTGAAACACTCAGATACGTCTACCATGTGTCAGGACTTTCAGAGTCCTTTACTTATTAGTCTTCTCAAGACTCAGAGATAGGAGCTGTCATTTTTCCCTTTTGCAGAGGAGGAATCCAGGACTCAGAGAAGTTAAATGACCTACCCAAGATTAAACAATAACTCTGAGCATTTACCACTTTCTGAAAGGAGGAAAGGAGCCTTCCTCTTCTTCAAGGAGGGCACCTTTACTCCGCTCTCTGACCTGTCTTGGTCCGTTTTGCGGTCTCTTCCTTACCTACCTTCATTCTGACATTCACTGGGACTTCGTCCCATACAACTTCCGTAAGACCCTTCTGACTCGGGGCTACGTGCCGATCCAGTGTGCACCAGTCTCCACAACCTGCACACCCCAGACTCAACCGATCCACCTGAGGCCTGCTGCTCCTGCTTTTCCTCTCCACTGGAAGGTCTCCTCACTCACTCGGTAGACCAGGCTAGACCTGTAAGTCATTTTGCAACTGCAGCTGCCAGACGCTGAGTTCCTGAGTTAGTTATTTACGCTGCACACATTCATCCATCCAGTCACTATCTCTTGAATTCATTTACTTTTCTCCACCTCACTTAGTTCACACTGCCAAGCGGCCTTCCCCGTCTCTCTCCGCTTCTCCTGGATGCTCCCAACCTTCCCCTGCTCTGCCAGCAGCGGTCTTTGTCATCATCTCATCCTCTGCGCAGCATCTTCCAGTATTTCCCCCAGCTTTAAGCGGAGGTGAGAACTCTAACCTTGTCTATGGCCTGCTCACAATGTGGGATGTGGCCCTGCTTACATCTCCCAGCTTACTTAAACAAGTCAGAGAGCTGCTTGCTTGTAAATACACAATGCAACCCACCGCGAGTGACCCAATGATTTTACATTCAAGTCAACTCCTCAGAAGCTGCTTATTTTTAAGACGTTTCCTCTCCCTTTCGGACTGAAGTGAGGAAGACATTCATACTGAGAATGTATGTTGGGAGAAGTTTATGGAACACTCATCTTGCAGAGGGTGTGGGTGGGGAGTATTAGAGTAGCCCTCAGGCTGGGGGCTTAGTTTAGTGGTAGACAGTGCTTGCCTAGCATTCCTCAGGCTCTGGGTTCAAGTCCCAGCACTGAAAAGAAAAAGGAGGCCCCATGTTTTGGTTTCTAATAAGAAAGAGGCAGATGCTGACTCCCCTCAGACGTACAAGTGTTCTAAAAGAACAACAGTGGAGTCATCTGATTTTGACCTCTGAAGGAGAGCTGACCACTACTGCTGCAGGCCGAAGCCAAAAAGCCAATAAACAAGCCTGCCTCATGACAATGGTCACATCCAACAAAACTTTAAGCATCTAAAAGATTATTTTCATTTATAATTTAAACCACACAAGGAAAATCATTTGGCCTAGGAGCACCTGCTCTCAAGTCTCTCTGGTGAATGTCAAAGGCCTACCGGCTACTAAAGAAGGCAGCCTGTGGGACGGGACACACGAGGTACAAGTGTGAAGAAGCGGCAGGGCACCTTGGCCCAGCGGGAAGGATGGAGGAGACCTCATCTGCATTTGGTTTTGATGGATAATGAAATCTTAACATAGCAAAGTGAGACTAAAGGCCCTCAAACGAAAGCCTGAGACAGGCAAATGGAAAGCCCAAGGCAGCAACTTCTGGAACAGTGATGGGGCTGGAACAAACCTCTGCGTAGAGGTCTGCATGCCTGGCTATGGAGCCCAGCACTCTCTCCATGGGCAAAAAGAGACCACTGAGGTCTTCGGAGTCTGAAAGTGACACGCAGCTGGGCATGGTGGTGAAGGCCTGTAATCCCAGCACTCTGGGATGCTGAGGCAGGAAGATCACAAGTTCGAGCCCAGCCTGGGTACCTTTGTGACTTAGTGAGACCTTGTCTCAAAATAAAAAATGAGGGACTGGGGAGATAGCTCAGTGGCACAGTGCCTGCCTAGGAAGGACAAGGTGTTGAGTTTAATTCCTGGTACCAAGACAAAAAAACAAGCAAAATAAAAAATGAGCTGAGGATATAGCTCAGTGAGAAGGCCTTGGGTTCCCCAGTACTGCAAAATGAATGAAGGAATGAATGAACGGCACATGTAGTTATTCTATACTCTGTCCAATCATTCATATCTCTTCAAATAGCAATAGATAGGGCAAGGGATATAGCTCAGTGGCACAAGCAGCTGCCTGGCAAGTGCAAGGTCCTGAATTCTATTCCTGGTACCAAAAAAAAAAAAAAAAAAAAAAAAAGTAGCAATAGATCAGGTTTGAAATGCATCAGAAGGAACACGACAAGTTTCCAGCCACTTTCTGGAGCAGCAAGGACAGGAAATATTTCTGTGTGGCAAAACTGACCGGCCATACCAAGCCCACTTAGAAAACTGTGGCCAAGAATGCTTAGGCCAGACACTGCAGTGGGCTCCCACACCGGCCCTGTACCCTCCTTTAGCTAGCTGGGCTGAACCCAGGGCCTTCACACTGAGGTACATCCCCAGCCCTTTAAATGGATACATGGCCCAGGCTGGATGCAAACTTGCAATTCTGCCTCGGCCTTGCATTACAAGTGTGGGAGGCATGTTCTACCATACCTGGCTTTGCCTTTCCCTTCAACTGTGGCTACCTGGGGCTAAAAATCTTCCGAAGTTTTCTATCTCAAAAGTTTGAAGCTACTGCTGACAAGCCCAGTCATTCTCAGAGTGAAGACAAGGAGGACATAACAATGCACACCTGCAACCCCCGTACTGAGGAAGAGGAGGAAGGAAGATGGCTACCAATTCGAGGCCAGCCTGGGCCATACAATGAGCGCCAGGCCAGCCTGAACCGCACAGCGAGACTCTGTCTCAAAATAACGAAGAAATGGCATATGAAATATTTGCTTTCAAAAATGTTTGGGCTTAGGAGGCACCAGGTTGAAGAAGAGGAAGGCAAAGGGAAGACACGTGAGCAGAAATGCAGAACTGCAGTCACCTTTCCTTGCTGCAGCCTCTTTCCGCAGTTTCCTCAGTTTCTCCAAGGCTCGAAGGATATCCACCATTCTTTTGGTGTCCGCTTGCTTTTTCCTCACTTCGGATAAGACACCATCAGCAGCAGCTTTGAGCTCCTGTTCCTGGAGGAGAAACGGAGCCCACAAGACCTTGTGTTAGCAACGACCCCACAGCGGGGCTCACAGCTGCCTGGGACTGAGACTTCCGAGGACTGGACAGTCCCAGGGTTGAGACTCTAATGAATCTGTATCCGTTTCCTAGGCCTGGCATGCCGCTCTACAGGGGCACTGCCAAGGGCTTACCCCCTACACTGACTGCACACCCTTCTGAAAGGAAATCTCTCCTCTCTGCAGCTTCAAGGCAGACACTGGGCTTTTGCTTCTCTCGGGGTCTCTCACAGGCTGGTCCAGGGAGCATCCACGTCCATCTTGCCTTGTGAAGTTGGGGCTTTCTTGTTAAAAATGCAGACTTATCAGCATGAAGATTCAGGCTCTGGGGGAAGATGAGCAACGGAACTCTGCAGAGGTCTCTATGTGAAAACCTGTGCAATCTGAGCTGCTCTGTCTGCTCTGAAGTCCCCAGGACCTCTTGCACAGAGCTGGCTTCCAAACATTTGAGGACCATGATCCTACTTTTCCGGAACTGGTTCATGGGTACTGTAAATAACCCCCATTCCTCATGGGACTCCTTCTCAAGTATCCTCATTCTCTTCGTTAAGGGTCTCTCTGCCTGTACCTCCACCATTAGCACCAACAGCCACTGCTGCACTTTTCTGCTAGGACTAGGGTTGTGCCTGTTGCTTTAACATGGCTTGAACACTTCTTTCAAAGTTCTGCTCAGATGTGTATCATCTGGGAAGGCCCCCTCGAGGGGATTGCACATCCCTTCCGCAGGCTCCTTGGAGTATCTACAGCTGAAATCCTAACATACACCATGCTATACCACCACGATCCCTCACGGGCTCTAAGCCTCCAAAGGACCCACTGGCTGTGTACTCTATTCTTGGTATCAGGCACTGGGCCTGGCACTTACTAGGCCCTCATTAAATGTCTGCTGAACTGACTCAATTCCCTTAGGAACTGGCTAGGCTTTCTCCTTTAAAGCAGTGATATTCCTGAGAACGCAGTGATGGAGGCTGCCATCAATACACTTTGCAGCGAAGTTTGTCAGACTCTAGGGCAGTGGCAGACGTGAGGGGACAGGAAACACTGCAGAGAGCAGAGGGAGCCGGGAGGGAAGCCCGGCAGCACTGAAAAGTTATGAGAATGCTTTGAACAAATACTTCACTGATTTCTTGACCCTATCGTCAGACAGGTGGCCTTTGTAATCAATTTGGTCTTAAATATGAAGTCAAACTGCCACAAACTGGTTATGTGACTGTTGGTAAATTAATCTCTAGGACTCAATTTCTAATCTGTAAAACTGGGGTAATCTCTCTTATTTCTCATGGTTGTTATAAAATAAACTCATGCATGCCATGACCTTAGGGAGTATAATACAGAGTGTTCAAAAGGACCACTGCTGAATGTGGAAATATATGGTGTAAAACCTGTAGAGGAACCCTGGGGAAGTCACTATTAGTACAGCCATGAGCCAATTAGGGTGTATGTTCCTGGAGGTAGGGCCCCAAGTTCTCTTAATTTTGTGTTCTTAAAATCATCTAGGGCTGGGGCGCTCCTGTGCACACCTGTAATCCCAACTATTCAGGAAGCTAAGGCAGAAGAATTACAGGGGAGACATCAGTCTGGACAACTCGGTAAGACGCTGTCTCGAAATAAAAATGACTTGGGATGCCGAGTGTGGTGGCGCATGACTGTAATCTCAGTACTCGGGAGGCTGAGGCAGGAGGATCGTTAGAGTTCCAGACCAGCCTGGCTACAAAGTGAGCTAAAGGCCAGCCTGAACTGCATAACCAGACCTTGTCTCAAAAAGACAAAAAAAAAAAAGAGAGAGACTGGGGATGTAGCTCAGTAAAGGGCCCCTGGGTTCAATTTCCAGTGCCAGGGAAAATAACCACATAGAACAGTGCAAGACACAATCAAAACACCTGTTACTGTTGAGTATTAATGAGTGCATGCAACTTCGCAGCAGGATGCAGGTGACCTGTCCTGCGGGCGGTGCAACTGTGTAATCTTATAATTTGTGTTTACAGGACTGGACAGTGCACGTGGAGCTTTTGTGTTGTGTGCTATACATCACAAATGGGCGATTAATGTACAAGTTGGATGTGGAAAGCTAGCTATTTCTGCAAGCAAAAAGGCTAAGCGCGGGTTCCAAACCATCACCATCCCCTACCACACTGCACGGCCACCGCTCTCACCCGCTTCTTCTCCTCCACCTCCTGCACGCACTTGACCCTCCAGCGGTCAATCTCCTGCTCGCGTTCCGCGGCCCGCGCGGCCTCTGCCTCCTGCTCAGCCTCGCGTTCCCGGGCCCTCTCGCGCAGCCGCAGCCTGCGGCGCCGGACCCTCTCCAGCCTCCGGCGCGCCTCGCCCAAGTAGGCGGCCTGGGACAGAGGCTGCAGCCGCTCGGCCAATTCAGCGCGCAGCGTCGTGGCCTGGGCGTGCAGTAGCGCCCAGGCCGCGCCGTCCGCCTCGGCCTCGCG